AAGCCGTTGAAAGAGGTAGATCATCAATTGAGTCTTCTGTGAAACTTAATCACTTGTTTTATGCAATGGGCCACAAAAACTCTTTCTAGGGCGCCCTCAAGTCCGAAACCGTACTCCCGATGTGGAATGATGAGACCAAGTTTGCGCATAGGTACGGATTTTCGTGCTTGTAGGAACGAATGAAGCGTTCTATGCCAAGTGGAAAATCAAAATTTGCAAATCCGAACTGCAAAACATTCCAGAACCGGCGAGAATCCGTTTGGGTCTGTGCGAGGGAATTTGCCCGATATCGTGGACCACCACGAGTACAAAGTCAGCCCGGAGAAGGTAGGATTTGGCGATTTTCAATATCTTGCTTGCTGCTTCTGTCTATCAATCTTCGAAATTATCTCCTAGTGCCTAAAGGAGTTGAATATCAGCAATGGTTTTCAGCCAAAACAAAAAGGGTTTTCGTCCCCAAAAACGCGGACGCGCCAAAGCTCAGGTAGGCGCTTACCAAAGTTGCCTACGTCTGCTATGTCCTAGACGCGGCTCAGCTGCCTCCTTGTTCAAGCTCTTGCTCCTGCTGTGATCCCCTTTAGAGTGTTCTCAATCCTCAAAATTCAGATGCGGTTAACGGAAGGCGTGATACCCTACGTAAATCGGGGCATCAACGTTCATCAAGGCGACATTCCTTCGTATGGCCAGTTGAGGACACAGGTAACAGTTTTGGTCGCTCGCTCCCTCTCTCTCTCTCTCTTTGCCACTCTTCCTTTCCCGCTCTCTCCCTCTCCCTCAAAAATACAGTTTTTAGACGGGTAACGTCGACTGGGCCAAGCTGAAGCCGGGGATGGACAAGAAATCCAACGGGTTCATCTCGAAGCAGTTCAAATCCAACGCGACGACGAAGGCCGGAAGTAATGTGATGGATCGGAGGCGGAATGGGGTAAGTTTTCTCTTGCTGTCTCTCTCTCTCTCTCTCTCTCTCTCTCTCTCTCTTATTATAACCCTATTTCCAGGCAACATTCATGGAATATGACAAGCAAAGCGAATGCTTTATCCCGATCCTGTTCGACAATTTGGGCTGCCAGATGAAGGTACTTTCATGGCATAATCAGTCGAATTTTTCTGAATTTCAGGAAGGCGCAGAATTCGGTTCTTTCCGCCCAATGTACACCCCATCCACCGGCGGCTGGCCAATGTCGTGGGATGAGGAGAAGAAGTGCCGGATGGCTGTGCCTTTTCAGGTGGGGAAAACTGCTTAAAAATCGCAAAAAACGAAGTTATCCCTTTATAAGTAAAATTCAGGTTATTCATGATCTCAGAAATCAGGTATCCTAAGAAGTACAGTATGCCTTTCGCATTACTTCCAAGCCACCAGGCCAAGCTAAGAAACGGCTATTAGTGCGCGCTCCCTCAAGGGCTAGCAAGTTGGCGATATATGGATTGATCCTCCATCGTGCTATCCGTATAATCGCGCACATCGTAGCCGGCATGGTCGCGTTGCGTCGTGTAGCGTTGCGTAGCTTAGTTAATCTTCATTATGTATCTTTTCACCCAGTTTAATGGTTTTGGCGCCTAGTGGAATTTTTAGCTGGTTCGGCTAGCTTTGAATCTCAGTCCCAAACGCTTTTAAGGCATTATAAAATACAGAATAATCGATTATTTACCTACGTTTTTCAGATCTCCGGACACCTCAACCTCCCGAAAGCCAAAAAGTCTCCGATCACCAAGACGATCACGAAAAAACCCAAGAAACCTGTACAGAAAGCCAGGAAAGCCTGACCCTGAGAAAGATGTTGTGAGATTTCTACGAACGGATAAATGACCAACTTTTATCGTCTCTTTTCTGGCAACACACATAATAGGTACAACAAACTACATAAAAAAAACAACGCAAAAGACGTCCGAAATCAGCATTAAATCAGGAAATCGAAAATATGAATCGGGGAACCCGGAGTGGAACGCAATAACGAGTGGGAAAAGAATTTTTAAAGGGACCTGCAACTTTCGAAAAAGTTCCGGAATGCTCCGCTATGCATTTTGATGCTGTAACCTGGTGCAAGAGAGAATTTCTAGCAAAAATTAAAAGTTGCACTTCCCTTAAAAAGATACCGTAATGTAGGGTAGCAGACTATGGAGAAAAATCGCGATTAAAGGAACTTGGAAGGATGAATTTCAAGCAAAATTTGCGAGTTTCATATAGTTGTAATTTCTAGATGGAGTATCCTATGGAGTACGATATGGTGCTACCACAATAACTCAAGTACAAAGTATTATAGCCTATTTTCACTTTTAGTGACTTAAATACGATATCTAGTACGCTACGCTACCCTGTAAGTTTAGAAAGCAAAGTAAAGTAGCGTACTATCCACATAAAATCCGTTTCGATCTAGGCTACAGTAATCAAACCTGCCAAAAATACCAAAAATGAGAAACCCAGTTCTCTCAAAATCCAAAATTCGCAATTTCCTGCCTTCCAAGTCCCTTTAAAAACAAAGAATCGTAGGCTAGCACAGCACTCAACAAAGACAGGATGAAAATACAGGGGGTGTACACTGTACAGTAGCGTAGTCTATCGTCAACTACGATATTGAAGAAGGGAATATTAGCGCAGTTCATATAAAGCGAACGGGATCACACGGATTCTGGAACTCCGGGGGTAGCTGACTAGTCGCGGGGAACAAAAAAATAGGTGTGGAAAATTGCAAAAATGGCAATATTCAGCTGGCGAAAGGGAATTGTGGCTTGTGGAAACCGCGTCCAGAGGAGCGGCACGTAGCGGTGATTATTGATTGGAGGGATCCTGAAAATATAAAAATAGATAAAATCAGGGTTTCTTAAGATATTTTTAAGCGATTAGGGTATTAATTAAATTCTTATTAAAATTTTTTACTAACCAAATTTTATATTTTTCGGATCCTTACCTCTTCCGGATTACGCGGGATGTATTTATGCAGCTCTGTCGGCACGTATTGGCGCATTATGTAGTTTTGGGCTTCGAGGAGTTGGATCTAAAATATAAAACTTTAGGTAAATATGCTTCTCTCTCTCTCTCTCTCTCTCTCTCTCTCTCTCTCTCTCTCTCTTACTCTTTCTCACGCTGACCCGCTTTCTATCTCGCACTTATTCTCTCTCTCTCACAATCACTCTCTTTCTATTTCTCTCTCTCTCTCTCTCTCTCTCTCTCTCTCTCTATATATATATATCTGTCTCTCGGTCCCTCTCTATCTCCCTCTCACTCTGACTCTACCACTAGCACTCTATCTATCTCCCTCACTCTCTCGCTCTCTCTTTCTCTCTCACTCTCGCTCTCACTCTCTCTCACTCGCTCTCTCTCTCTCACCTTAGACTCCAAATCCATGATCGTCGTCCGCAACACCTCAACCTCTTCTCGAACCGCGAACGTCAAATGTGTTTTGACTAGGTCCATCGCCTGCTCAATCTTGTTGTCGATGGCGATCACGTTTAGTTGGGCGTTTTGGGAGCTGAAATGGGTTGTATATACTCCTTAATTCAGCTTTCTACTATCAGCCATCTCATTTTTCAGGGTACGGTATTTTTCTCCAACTTACAAGATATTTTTCTGCCTTCCATGTCTCTTAAACCCCTACGTACCCCAATCTCTGAACGCTCTGATCCCACGCAGTGCCAAGGTCTCAAAACAGTACTTTATCACTAACCACCCTCAAGCTTTTCAGCCTAATCTCTGCCCCAAGCCACCTGGGCGCCCCAAAATAGCCCGGCAAAAACTGGCTGGCGGTGGTCGGGAGACGTCAGGTTAGAGATAGGGAGACAAAGGAAAGGATTCTCTCAAAGGAAAGGCGAGAGGAGGATGGAGTGAGAGAGATAGATGGAGCGGAGTCGGAGCGTGATAGGGTGAGTGAGAGTGAGAGATAGAGAGGGCGAAAGCGAGAGAATGCTATGGAGAACGACTTCCAGAAGGACAGACAGAGAGAGAGAGAGAGAGAGAGAGAGAGAGAGAGAGAGAGAGAAAGAGAGAAAGAAAGAAAGAAAGAGAGAGAAAGAAAGAAAGAAAGAGAAAGAAAGAAAGAGAGAGAGAGAGAGAGAGAGAGAGAGAGAGAGAACCAGAGAGAGCGAGAGAGAGACAGCGGGCGACAGAGAAAAACAAAGTTCAATACTTTAAGCCTACCACCTTCCGATAACGTGGATCAATACCGTAATCTCGTTTTGGTTGTTTACTTCCCCGTTTCAACGCTTTTTTCGGCGTCCATCTGATAAGCACCCCGATGTGTTTGGATTTTTTGTGTGTTCCCCGACGGGTACAAAGGTCCGCTGAGGAGGTGGAGGAAAATGGCCGAAAAATGGGACCAGTTTTTTTGGGGAGTTACTCGGGCCGTAAAATTGTCAGATTACAAGGTGAGATGCGTGGGGGAGATATGGGGATGGAAAAGTTCAGTGTGAACGAATGAGGGTACTTGAGGGTGGTCAGACTATAACGAAATTTGGATTTAAACCGGAAATGTCATAAAAATTAACGAGAAATTTTAAAAAATTGTATCAAGTGCGATTATGGCATTTAAAGGGTGTTTCTGAAAACGCTTTTTTATTAGTTATTTTCTTGTTAATGACCATATAAATTTTTTTGAAAATCAGATTCCTCAAGCGCCCCCTTCGGATCACACGAAAAATACGGTAATTTTATTTTACAACTACAAGATTTCCAAAAGATCGATTTTGTAATTCCTTTTGTATTGAATTCCAAATCGGTGCAGTAACAAGAAAAAATTAATTGAATCGGTTACGTCGCGTAAAGAGCAAAAAATTAACTAAAAAAGTGCAAGTCAGCGTCAAAAAAATATATTTAAGCTATAAAACTGAGCTGAGCCTCCTCTGCAGTTAGTCACATGGTTAGTGTTCCAGTCTCTCAAGAATATGGTCCTGGTTCGACCCCTTCAGCGGAAAATTTTTCACTATGTTCCCCAGCCGGCCAAAAACTCGTGCTCACCTGCTCTCCACCTCCGGTACTCTCACAAAAAGTTGCCGCCTCGTGTCCGAAGGCGTAATCGGGGTGTTGGGGTGGAGCTTCTCGCAAATCCTCGGACTTTCCGGAACCGGCGTCAAAAGGCCAGAATCGGAATCCATGGACGATTGTTCAGGGGACAGTGCCGTATAGGGGGAGCCAGGCGGCGTCATCGAGGTTAGGGAAAGACGATGGCCTAACACAGGATTTTCGTCGATTAATGTGCGAATTTTTGCACCTGAATGCGTGAGGAGGGTCAAAGAGTTGTCCAACTCCTCCACCGACGTCATCCTGTGGAAGGCGATGGGCCACGGGTTTGCACCCTGCTGCACGATGGCCGACATCCCGAATATTTTGGCTGGAATTTGGGGCGGTCAAATGGCGCAAGGAATGGAAAATGAAGGCAATAGACAATAACTACGATTTGTAGAACTTGTTTAAAGCATCAAAAAACTTGAAAAATGGCCAAAAAAACCACATATGCTGAAAGCGTTCGGATGCAAAGTAGGATTTTATCTTTAAAATCGCTTCATCTCGGCGTAGGAATATCGGATTCAGTCAATTTTTATAGCATTCGAAAACTCAGAAAATGAAGAGTTAGAAAATGATAAGCTCGGCTCTTTCAATAGCGCAAATTTTCTAGTAAGATGCAAATTTGGGAGCAATTTAACTGGCCTTATTTTGGCGTAGGAGAAGCGCTTCCAGATGCTTTTTACAAAATTCAAAAGTGTAGAAAATGAAAAATTCAATAAGGGCAAGGTCCGCGAAATTTGTATCTAAAAATTAAGTATATTATCGAATTATATATTTTACGCGAGAAGTTTCAAGATTTTCGCGTTTTACACATTGTTAAAAAACCCTACACTACGAATGGCACCCAAATCCCATCCCTCTGGCATTTTCGCGGCATCGCGGCTTATACAAGAGTTGAGCGGCGATATTTTTGTCCCCGCGTGCCTCCTTTTCGTCAGCTAAAAAGCGGATAATCCCCGGGATCCGGGACCAAGCCGGAAAATCCCGAGTCCGTTGCGGCAAAGATTTTTGAGCGAAACTACGAATTCGTTAAACGGATGTGAAAACAGAGATTCTGGACGTCAGAAATCTGAATCTAGAGCGATTCAAAAAGCGTGTAAAAACATGGCAAATTCATCAAAACCATTGCAAATAGACCAGAAATCAAAAAAAACTGCTTAAACCGACTATTTGAAACTCAGAAACGCCAAAAATATGGAAATTTGCAAAAAATTAAGATGTAATGTAACGAAGGCTTAAAAATCAGGTTTAAAGTTGTGCTCAAACAAAGCTCATTAAATCGTAGTATTTCAACCGTTGACATCCCGCTTTTATGGATGCAAACAAATTCGGTGATTTGAATTTTCGTTATTTTGACACAGGCTTTGATCTTTTACATGATAGATTATGCCTTAAATGTAATAAAATTATAGGATTAGTTCAGTAGTAATATATAAATTGGGCGCTATATAATGAATTAATAAAGTACCTCCCAAAACAAATGCCAAGCCCAGGAAAAATGAATGGAGCCATGGGCTCTACCTTGCAGGTAGAACACAAGGTTAATAAAGTCCTGAACTACGTCACAGATTGAATATCGTTAAATAGAAATATTTAGGGCTAATACCAATTATAGAGCCATTATTATAAATGATAAAGCCCAAAGCTATCCCTAAGCCCCGGAAAAAACGACTGGAGCCATGGGGTCTGGCCACCGCAGCGAGGGGAGGCGGTGCCTCCACCCTCCCCCCTTCCGCCCGAATGTTTTTCGGTCATAAACCCCGGCCGAAATGTGGGAGACCACGGCACACCACCAACCAAAAAAATTATCACCTTTTGGGGAGGCGAAGGGACGAGAGAAGAAGTGGAATCCACCCCGGGACTTTAAAAGATAGTGAGAGGGAGGGAGGCTAGGGCAACTGGGGTTCGAATTGTTCGGGTTGAGGGGGGGTCAAAACCAAGAAAAAAATGGATGAAGGGTTACTGTAGCTATAAAAAATGTATTTTGGCGTTTATTACAGTAGCCTACAGTGTTCCGATAAATTCAGAAACTTTGAAATTCTGAACGTGCGTAAAAATGTCGGAATCGGGCAATTCAAATCAGAGTAATCGAAACCAGGCACGATATCTAAAAATTATTTTGTAAAAAAATTGGTTAGTTTACGGTGTCTTATTAAGCAGGGTATTCTGCTAGCTTCAGGCAACTTGGCTTGCCGGATTTTAGTCAAAATTAGTCAGCAAACCAGCGCATTTCTAATTTTTCAGGAATTTGACATGTGAAAATATTAACGTCATTTTAATAAAACCGGAAAAAACTTCCAGACCAAATAATTCACACGAAAATTTCGCACGCAATTTTCCCGGACCCGCCAAAAACCGGCTGCGGGCCCTTCACCGATTTCTGATGGTATAGTAGTAGCGTTGCGGGCGACTGAGGGGAATTGCGAGGGGCTCAAATTACGGGCCGCTCGCACCCAACACATACAACACAATGTTTTGCCGTAATCTTTGATTTCTTGGTTTGTGAAAGGTAAGGTTGCTGAAAAGCAAAACCGATGAATGGATGCAAAAAGTACTCCTGAAAATTACGGGCCTCAAGCGCAGAAAGCGTGAAAAAATGTAAAAATTTGATAAATGATCTTGAAGATAAAGCTATGGCAGGCTAGCAGAGATCCTTGCTCCATCGTACCTTAAAGGGACGGGTAACGCAGACGCTATGCATCCGCCACGCACACGCTGCGCACACTCTACGCAAAATCTAGGTACTGGCTACCCACAGGCTACGCACGCGCTACGCAAGCCATTTCGCCTTCGTGAGGGGCTTGTAGGCGATATAACGTGTCGTGATGCGTATCGCGCTGCGCTTCGCGCAGACGCAGCATTCAGAGCAAAAAATTTGGGGTCGTGCCTTGCCAATTCCTTTAAGTCCACAGCTCCTTTCCGAAAGATTTCTAAAATGCGAGCATTTTGCTTCAATAGTCGTTACTAAAATCTACAGTAATTTTTACTCCGGAATTTTTGAAAAATCGGTTCAATTCAAGGTAAGATTTCTACGCTTACCAACTCCTTTAAACCTCAAAAATCATAGATTAAAACGATCATATCCTTAAAAGTTCAAAAACAACCCCCATTCACCCTTGGTGTATAGTGTGGTCAAAGTGGCCCCCCCTTCAACACCCCCCCCCCCCACGAGGGTGGGGACGACAGGGTCGAGAGGCCCCCCATTCAAAAACTGTTTGGAAAAGGGGCTCCATTTTCCCCCTATTTTCCCGCGTTGAACGCCTCGTTTTCGTGTATTCCCGAGGAAAAATGGACCCAGGGAGAGAGGGGGAATCTTGGGGGCAAACAGTCGTCGCTGTGGGACCCTAGTCCAAGCCGAAAAAGGCGAAAAATCGGCCCCGATTCAGCTGACCTCCTCCCCCGGCCTGGGCTAGCCGTTTTTTTGGGGCCTCGGCCTGAGTCAGCTTGCCCATTTTCGGGCGGCGGCAAACATGACGTAGCGGGGCCAGAGACGAGAATTTTGAGGTGATAAGCGCAAAATGATGAACTACTCAGGGTGCAAAATTGTAAAATAGTTATCGAAGTCGTACAATAATCGGAAATGTCATTAATGCGTCATGGTTTTAGGAACGCACGATACGGGCAGCCGAACTACAGTACGTTTAAATACGCAACAGTACGCTACCGTGCCCTCAAGTGAACCATGGTATCGTAAAATATGTAATTTTGGCAGGTAAGTTTCTATATCTAGTTAGCTTATTACGCTACATTACGGTACCGTACGTTCGGGTATACTTAATACATCTCGGTACTTCAGAGTACGCTGCAGTACGCGATGGTACGTTAGAGTACGTTGCGTAACGATATAGCTCGATCCTTTACGCCACTGTACGCCACCGTACGCTGCAGTCCGCCGCATTACGCGACAGTACACTACAGTACGCTACAGCACGCCACGGTACGCAACAGTACGCAATAGTACGCTATGGTACGGATGAGTACGTTATCTTGCGTATAACCCTGGACCGGTACGGTACTTACTTCAGTACGTGAGACTACGGACTACGGTATCTCGAGCTTTTCTTCCAATCTCCTATGAGATTCGGATCAAGCTACCTGGCAATTAACGATGTAAGAAGCTCTGGGTCGAAATTAATACGTACGTAAAACCTTTATCTGACTAATCCATTGTAATTGAAGAATTTGAAAATTTTCAATTAAGCTCCCAAAAACTCGCACTTGACAAAAACGGATTCATCATTTTCAGTGCTTTTCTAAAGCACACCCCCACTCAATTTCTCCCTCGCACTCCGCCCGGTGACGCCCCCCACATCTGCGCAAACAAAACGCGGAAATTTTGGGCTTTTTTCAACTCGTCATACGTAAGCTCGGATAATGCGGCACCCCAAACAATACCCCGACTAAACCCTGTGCCACTTCCGCCGGGCTACAAAAATCTCGGCATCCATCTCCAATTCTCCAATTGTGGGATTGCGTAGATAGATCCCGCAATTTTTTTCGCGCCTAATGGATGGCCGGGTGGGATCAGATTCCCGGCTCCAAGCGCGAAATCGCGGAAATTTGAGTCGGGGCGTTTGGGAAAAAATTGAAACCCTTGTAATGGGCACTGGTCTATGGACCTGGAAATGGGAATAGGTTTAGAGGTGAATTTGAGATTTATTAAATTTAATTATTTTAACTGAAAATTTGAAAAACTGCGAAAGACCGAATTTCACGTAAATGATAAAAGTCAGAATCTTCAAAGATGGCTAATTGCAAAAATATCGGAAGTGTCGGCGCAAAAATCGATTCAACGAAATTTCTAGCGATTAGAAAAGACTTAAAAAATGCGAAATGGAGTAATCACACCAGCAGACCTTCTAAATAGCCAAAAATTCTCAAATGACCTTTGCTAGCGTGCCTAGCTAGTTGTTCAGGGAAAGGGGTACTATAACTCACCTGATCTTTGGGGAAATTGCTAAATTCCTCAAGAAATTCTGCTATCTAGCCTAGCCATATCCATTAATAAGTTCAAATTCCTGAATTTATATAAAAAATCGTGCGGTTTTTATTGAAAGGTCTTTGCTGGCTTGCCAAGAGATACTTTGAGAAAGTCGGTTTCGAACCCTCGACCTGGAGAAGTCCACATTCCACAGAAAACGCTCCTAAAGAATCTCTGCTAGCTTGCCCGAGCTCGCTCTGATACGCCCTAATAGGTGCAAATCAGGCTTCTCTATCAAGCGATGTACGATTTCAGTTGCTTTCCGACCTACCCCGG